TGCTTTAGAGTCTACAATAGACGCTCTGTTCCTGGCTCCTAGACTACAATCAGATGATAATTTTGTCCTAATTACTGAGTCTCTTTAAGTTTCCAAGTTTGTAAATGAGAAATGCTTACAATCCTGCTGTCATCTGAAACAAAGTATCAAATCCTCCCTGAAATAATTTTTCTTTTTATCCCCCAACAAAAGCACCTGAATTACAAGGAATTTAAGCTGTTTACTATCTTCACCATGGACAAATACCAGGAGAAGCAGAAAGTAGAGAAAAAGGAGGAACAGAAGGCTCTGCTTGAAAAAGAATATGCCACAGAAAGTTAAGGGGAAGGCAAAAGAGAAACTTCTTGAAAGAAATTCATCTAAAAATACAATATAAGTAATTATAACTGTTAGCATGTTTAAAAATAAATGTGAACACCAAAGTGGTATGTCTACACATTCACTTGGATATATGAAGGGTCCAAATGAGTGTTCCTCAAACAGAAAGTTCTTAACTTTGATAACCTATTGACCTCACATACGGAACAAGAATGTCATGTGAAGTAACCACTCTCTTTGTCCATCCACATGTCCCGATTCTGCTGCTGCTTTTCAGATCAACCCTGTTCATTCGGTCCCTGTGTATCCAAATAATTACCAACACTTCCTGGGGCGGAGCAGTTGAAAGAAGGCAGTGCTTCCCCAGTATTAGTCCCTAGTGGTCCAACACCTCCAGACCCTTTCTAGTCTCCCAGTCCTTAGGCTAAAACTACCTGGATGAAACACTTCAAAATGGCAAATGGTGAAGTGCCTCCAACCACAAGGGAAACGGACTTTAAGGATACTGGGGCTGTGTTCTTCCTAGAATCTGAATTACTCTCTGAGTCAGGTGCTTAAGCAAATGGATCACATCTGCTAGGGTAGCCCGGCTGGTGTGGCTCAGTAGTTGAGCATCAACTGAACCAGGTCACAACTCCATTCCCAGTTGGGGCACATGCCTGGGTTGCAGGCTTATCAAAATTCTGCACTCGAAGGGGGGAGGGTCCCTCAGCTTGGCCTATTCCCTCTCGCAGTCCAGGAGCCCTCGGGGGATGTCCGAATGACAGCTTAGGCCCGCTCCCTGTGGTGAGCGGGCCTAAGCCGGCAGTCAGACATCCTTAGTGCTGTCGTGGAGGCAGGAGAGGCTCCCACCACCGCCGCTGTGCTGGCCAGCCATGAGCCCAGCTTCTGACTGAGCGGTCCTCCCCTTGGGGGAGTGCACTGACCACCAGGGGGCAACTCCTGTGTTGAGCATCTGCCCCCCTGGTGGTCAGTGCACATCAAAACAAACCAGTTGCCCCCCCCCTCGAGGTTGAAACCAGCTCTGAAATCCCCCCGAGGGTCCCTGGAATTGTAAAAAAGCGCAGCCAAGGCCGAAGGAACCCCGCTAGGGCAAAATCGGGGCCCGGGAAG